GCTGTCCCAACTACGACTATGCCCAGCCAACACACTCTCCCAAACTCTGGGCGACTAATCATGTTGAACGGCGGACACAGTGCTGGCAGGGCTGACACTTTGCCGCGAGTGTGCCAGTTGGAGGGCAAAGTTGTAACCTCTTCTTTACTTCGTGTCATAGTTTAAATTATGTGCGAAACTTTGGCCAAACTTTTAATAGCATACCAAGCACAGGCACAAGCACTAGCTCAGGACAGTGCCCAAGTGGAAACCTGTAAACAGGTCGATGTGTCGATGTGTGGAGTGCTCCTTTCGATGTGCTCTAGCGGCATATGTTGCACATTCACGCATTGATTAGTTACACTCGCCGTTCCACCATTAGAATACACGATAGATGGTGTCCAGGAGTCGACGCCAACTTTCCCGTGCGTACCAAGCATTAAGGATTTACTGGATAGGTAAGAAGGAGCAACAACAGCAGCAGGCGAAATGAGTTTACTGGGCAGTCAGGCATTAAATTGTATCTTTCAGCGCAAAACTTTTTGGCCTGCATTGACGACACAAAGCAGACAACTTGACCTGTGCCCCAAGGCGCTCGAGAATATTTGTTTGCCTGAACTATTTGCTGACAAAAGCAAAGGAAAATCGACAGTTGAAGACATGACAGCTCCTCGTACCATATACCCACTCAGTTTCGATTTCAATTAAGCTGCTTCGATGGGCTTTAAAGTCAAATATTTGCCTAATTGATCTGAGGCAATGAACTCAACACTAATGATGAAAAAGAGTCGCAAATTACAAAGCTATTAATAAAATTTCCTTTGCTCGATTTTCCCGACCTTGACTGAGTTTCATTCGATGCGTGTAAATAATGATAGACGCAGACACATACACACACACATACATAAATTTATATACACATGCCATCATACACACAAATTGAGATAATTATCGTACTCGGATTGCCATTAAGCATCCAGCAGCCAAGGAAAAGAGCAGGCCAGAAGTTGCAGACGCGCCGTTTGATAAACTCGCATTAATTACATTGATTTATGCTCTCACGCGTACGCACGCACACACGCACACATGCACACACGCACACATGCACACACGCAAGGCAAGCGTGACTTATAGACACGTCAACAAAATTACACACACACACGCACGCACAATCGAGGACTAACAGACTTAAAGTTGAAAAGTCGCCATTGACTGAAATGTCTTTGCTTTCTTAGTTAAGTCTTCCCCATAAGGTGGGTGCAAGGCAACAGCTGCGTAATAAATAAATTATTTTTTATAATTAAGCTAAGATATACTTTGTTTTGCCTGTTACATCCTTTGTTCAATCCTAACACAGCATTTTATAAGGAATACGCGTATCGGGTAATAAAATATTCGGTTGGAAATTCTCTATTAGTTTAGCTATTTGTTAGCATCAGTTATTCTTTAAACTCTAAATGTAAAAGCAATCGAATTCAATTATTCTATTCTATTTGTCGACTGTAGGTGGAAATTAATAATAAAACCTCCTGAGCGAAAATATTTATTTATTTATTTCATCTTGCTGCTAAAATTAACGCAAAGCACGTACTTATACTGCTATGATCTCTATTGCAAGTTGCGGCTAAAATATTCCAAAGGCACAATAGGGAAAGCAACCGCATATCCTCACGAACATGGCACTTAACTGCAGGGATATGCCGTAGCCAGTGCCTAGGACGAAAGCGTGTGCACATGCATTTTTATCTGAGACAATTACTTAATGGACATGGACACTTTCATAGAACACATTAGGCCCGTGTGCTCGGACTTTTCAGTGCGAACAGAGCTGTGTGCGGTGCTGTGAGACATTCATATTATTGACAAATTCTGTAACACGAACAACCATTTTGCCGCTTTGCAGCGTTAGTCCTCACAAAGCCAGTGGCACAGGAACACAGAGCCCTTAAAAGCAGTTTAGGAAATATTCAGAAGCAAGGATCGTCAGCCTTGCTATAGAGCAGACACTTTCAGAGTTAAAATGTAATTATCCACTAGCAGAAACTCAGCTTTGAAATACCTTATTTCTGAATACTTGAAAGATAAAAGATCTTAATCCAAATCCAACTGAATAAAGAAAGTGATTGTGGATGGTTGAATATATTACGTGATGAAGTTGGTGGAGAATATATAACTGATTTCCTTTTTCATGCATAATTTGTTTACCATTTTATTTTATTTTAGAGTCTCATAACATGTCTATGTTTGGTATCCTAACACTAATATATATAAATAGAAGCAAAAGCCTTTAGGTTGGTGCGAACAGGAAGGACAGAGACCAACTTTAACATTAAACTAATGTATTGCATTCAAAAGAGAAAGTATGTATGTTTACAAGTATTTAACTAAATTCAAGCATTCTTTCAGGCACGGCCCTTAGACATTCATATGTGGCCTACAAAATACCAAATTTTGCTTCTGCACGTCCTTGTCTATGGCTACATACTCAAACACATACACTTATACAATCAATCAATTTTTTAGTACAATTTATCAAACTATTACACAGTAGAACTGTTTGTTTTTTTGTTCGTGCTGGAATTGTGTGTTTTATTTTATCATATCATGGGACTGACATTAAAATTGTGGTCTAGTTTTCTACGCTGTACACACACACTCACACACTCACACACACACACACTGACACACACACACACTGACACACAGTCGCTTATAAACACACCCACGACCATCAATTGGATATGAGATTTTTATTTGCTTTTTCGCTTTGTCACTTAATTTCATAGGCAATTTTATGCGCAACGTGAGCGCTAAAGGAGAAAGAAGGGGCGAGGGGCACAGGGAGGGCACAGGAGGAGAGGGGAAATTCACAAGCGATGTGCACGAAATCACATCAACAATGTCATGTGCATGTTTTGTCAATAATATTTTCCATTTGATTGATGTTGTTACTTGGCATGGCCATAAAAACCATTGAAATGTACTTCAAATGGAGAGATAGAGCTGCATGGCGGACGAGTGTGCCACTGTCTATGTATGTGATTGTGTGTTTGTTGTGTTTTGTTGTGTGTGTGAGTCGGCGCACCGATATCTATTGAGCTTGTTCATAAAAGTCTCGAGGCAAGCGAGGCTAGCTGCGTGTCTATCTATCTATATACATTTCTGTGGTTTTCATAGCAGCTGCAACGAACAATGTTTGGCTTTTATAGCCGCGATTTTGTTGGTTTTGTTGTCGTGCTTGTGGATGGAATTGATGTGAATTCCTGCCCTGCCACTCTATAAATTGTGTTTATGCAGTGCAGTCGGCTCCATTTTGAAACATGTTTGCAAAAGAAAATATGCCAGTGGTTATTTTTCTTACTGTCCATCCCTAATGTACGACTATATTCATTGCGCTCTCCAGCACATATGGTTTTGCATCAATTAAGTAATATGGTGATAGGAAATTGGAAAAGAAATAACGTCCCTTTAATTCCACCTGCTCCTTTTAATCATTCAGCAGACTATAAACTACTCGTAATAGTGTGATAGGTAAGATTATATTTCTGTTTTGTGGTTTGTCGCTACTTAATGACATTGTTGTCTGGCAAAAAGCAGAAATTATGCTTACAACTATTTATTATTACTTGGCGGCAATTGTACAAAAGCAATTTTGTTCAATTTCCAAACTATCTACGAATCAATCAAATGTATTTCTATGTTTTTCCTCTATCCTAAAGTAAATCTTGTAAAGATTCTAAAGTATGTAAAGTACATACTCCTGATTATTTGTCTTGTCTTTCCTCCCTCTGAACGTTCCCAATTACACGGGTCCATAAAATTCTTTTCTGTTTTAGTCTATTTCAATTTTTAAAACTCGTACTAAGTTAGCATACTGATATATCTGCTCTAAATAAACAATCTCTTCAATTTAACATTCTGTTAAGAGGCTTAACAGAGAGATGCTCTTTATTAAAGAGCATTTACCATCCGTCCTCCTCCCTTTAAATGTAAAACGATAAATAAAGGTCTGATATCTGAACAGTTGTTACTGTCAGTTATTTTGAAAAATTTATGTATATTTTCCATTTCATTTATTCAATGACTGCCTTTCTACTAAAATTTTATTTCAACTAGCAAATAGAACAAATAGAATCAAAATTAATTCTGCAATGAGCCGAACTATATAAATGTGTGTCTATATATACTATAGTATGCATATAGTATATAGTATAGTATGCACATACATATATGCACATACGAGAAACGAACCAACAACTAGAAAATATATGCCAATATTCGTTTCAAATAATGAAACGGATGCTTGGCTTATCTCTTGCCATGCAGATATCACATGCGATTTTGAATTTCTAAAATTTCATTCATTCATGAACATGCATACATATGTATGTATATAGAATTATTTTGTGTAAATGCACCAACCGAGTGGGTCTTGAATCGAACAATGCTAGCAAAAGCTACATTTTTTTAAATTCCTTTCTGTTGCTGTGTTCAATTTTTGGGTAACGGAAATGGCGTTGGCAGGAGATGTGCGTACCCCGTGTTTAGATTTTCCATTGCAAACACAATGTTGACTTGGCTGACATTTCGCTGGCATTTTTGGCGATTTATAACCAAACATAGATATACAAAAAAAAAAAAAAAAACAAAAATCGTTCTTGGGATTGGTGTGAACAACACATAACGGAATTGTCAAGTGCAAGTGCGGGCTGTCAAACACGGTCCGCTCCCATTGGAGGAGTACTTTGCATGAGAGTTAAAGGCCAGCGAAGTAAACAAACACGCACAACCTTTCGAAATAAATATTCCGGCATGCTCGTAAAACCAGACGTATGCGCAATGTTTGTTTTTTGTTTGTTTCGCTTTGGTCAGTCCACAAATCTTCTTGCTATCTTTTTGGAGTGTGGCACGAATTTTTGGCTGGCTAACAACTGCTATGCATATTTTTTCACTTTAAACCAATTTTTTGGCTTCCATTCTGTTAGTGTACGAGTACAAGTATGTACACGTATACAAGTATATGAGCGTGTTTTCCTCTTTTTTATTTTATTTTATTGACACACAAGTGCAAAAACGTTGAGCTCGTTTGTTTGCTGGCTGCAGGTTTCCTTCTACGTTTTGGTCTTCTTCTCCTTTTTAGTTTGCATTTTGGGTTATGTTTGTAAGCGGCTTAAAGTTTTAGGATTCGGCAAAGTTAACTGCGCTGCTGTCGTTGGGCTGAACTTTTGGCGCCAAAGTAATTAAAGTTTTGCAAGACAGTGAAGGCATTGGCAAGAGAAAGGAACAGTAGGTGCCACCAACCTGACTAGGAGTCCTCGCCATTTTTATGCATAAATACATATTTGATTTACCTGCAAAGAAATAAAAGAGTGCAATGTGTTAGAACTTAGTTTAAAAAGTTTCGCCAAAAAATATCTTTAATTAATAAGGTTCAGACAACTTGCACATTCCTTTACTTTTCAACTCAATTTAAAGCTCAGTTGTCTCTAATACTTATGTATTAGTTTATATATATATATATATATATATATATATATATATATATATATATATATATATATATATATATATATGTATGTATGTACGTATGCAAAATATTAGGATGTTTTTGCCATTTACCAACTGCAATGCATGGTCGGGCAGATAAGCTGCTGCATCTTATGCAAATGTAATTAAAATGCAACACAGCGCTGTTTTACAATATTTTCTGCACTTTTTTTTTGTTCATCTTCATTCCATGCTGCTATGCTTGCTTTGCCTTGCCTTGACGTCCTTGCTTAGGATTAAGCTGGCTTAACAAATGCAAAACATACAGCTGCACACATTTGTCTGGGCGGGTACGTTTCTCTGTTTTGCCCTGGCAATTTGGGCTCGTAAATGAGCAGCAGCAGCAGCAGCAGCAGTAACAACAACAACAGTAATGAGTGTAACTAGTACTACTGACGCATTTTCATGTTTTAATTAAAACTAATTTAAGTTAATTAAATGCATTCTAGACAACAGACAGCAATGACAGTCATGATAGCAGTTGAAATAGCAAGTACTCAAGCGTGAAATTATCTAAAGTTGATTATAAGGAACGCACACACACACACACACACACACACGCCCATACAAAGATGAATAGCAGGTGCTTTAAACACGCACGAATTCGCTTGACAAATTACTTAATTTCAAAAATCGCCACACGTATTGCCTGGCGACCCTGACCGCTCATATAAATGCGTCAGATTAGTTAGGGTAGAAGCAGGTGGAAGCTGGTAGAAGCTGATGTCAAAGGCAGGCGCCCCAAAAAGTAGGCAACGAAAAATGTACGCAGCAGTTGACATAACCAATAACACAACCCAAAAATCCCTCAAACACAGGCACACATGCACACACACACACATGCACACACACACACAGAGTGAAAGTGAAAGTGAGCGCGCGGACGTGTTTCTTTCGGTCGTCATTCTTCCTTCATTTTTGAGTAGCAAGTTGGCTGCAACAAATTGTTTTTTACCCAACACTTGGTGGTCACTAAGGTGCGGAAGGTACTCACCCCTGTCTGTGACACAAGCCTGGTCGGGTGCCACTCCTGCCCCATCTTTGTGGTTTGGTGGTCCGGCGTCTGGACTTTGACCCCTGAACTTTGATCCCTACTGAGACGTACTAGCGCTGGTCAAGCAGGCCTAGCGTGAGTATACTTTTTGTTTTTATTTTCGCTGTTGCTCCGCCCACGCGCTATAGGCAGTCGCACAGTTGCATTCACAACAGCTGGCTGCCCAGCTTACGCAGGGTTGCATTGTACCATCTGGTGGCCACCCAGCCGCTCCTCAAGAGAGTGCCAGGCTTTGACACCAGAGGGCGGTTCAAGGCTTGGTAAATTGCAGCGCTGGTGCTGCATACTTTTAGGACCTCCCGGTAATTCGGACCTAATACTCCAAATCCTGGTGCAGCCTTTTAGGATCAAAACATATTTTGGCTGGGTTCTTAAGCGAGTTTATATAAAGGCCGGACGGGCTATATTCCAACCCCTACCGCATCGGCGGTGCATCCCAGTGGGGCTCTGGTGACCGAGCAGGGGCGGGATAACCCCCATCCCGTCAAGGAGAAATACTTGGCCATCGAGGGAACTCGCCACGAATCCGCCTCGATGACCGACATGCAACGGCATGGGCTACAGAAAGTGGCCCCCACCGACCAGCCACCAGGCGTACAACCGGCGCAACCTACGGTCTACCTGGAGTCGCCTCTTTCCTTTACGCATGGCGCGCCTTTGGCAACCCTGGGTGAAGAATTGTGGCTAAAAACCAACGAAGCGGTAGCAGGCGCGAATCCTTTCGCGCGTAGGTCTCTGGTGGCCAGATCCCCACCAAAGTCTGCTCCACCGTCCGTGACGCTCCACAGCTACCCCCTCTTGTGTCCATCTTCTGCTTCTTCGCGTGCAGCAAACGCAGCCGAGACGGCGAATACGCCATTCTCGACACCTCTGGCAGCGCCTTCATCGCCTACGCCTTTGCCGATAGTAGTGGCGTCTAGCGGTCCCCCAGCCCAACCAACCACCGCCCAGGCAGAGATGCAGGAACTGGGCTCCCACCTGCAGGCGGTGTGCCGTCTTTTCGAGGGTCAAAATAAGCGACATGTCAACCAGCAGGATAAGGAGATTTTTGCTGAGATGCTGAAGCTGCACAGCTCGATTTGCAGCAAAATAGACTGGTCATGTACTGGAGTGAAGCAGCATTCGAGAGATATTGGCATTCAAACTGCTGAGGCCTGGCCCAAAGTGTCCAGCCACCCCCAAGCTGGCACCCCAAAAAGGCTCAGGGACCCCAAAAGCAACCAGCGCGCGACTCCTCCAAAGAAGCATAAAACGCGTGACCAGAAGCTCGCCTCCGCATCGCAGAGTACAAGTGGCCAAGCCCTAGACACTCAGCCGCAAGACCTCGCTCAGGTAGTGAAGGGAAATGGCAACCCCCCTGACGCTTCTATCGCTCCCAAGGCTGATACATGGACGAAGGTTCAGCGTCAGACACGACAGAAGACCAGGAGACCCGATGCCATTATAGCCAAAGGCGTTGGAGAAGCCCAGTACGCTGACATTTTGAAGGCAGTGAAGTCGGCTCCGGCTCTGCAGTCACTGAAAAACGATGTACAACGTATCAGAAGAACGGGTAACGGCAGCTTGCTCTTAGAACTGAGCAGATCACCGACGCACGACATTGGTAAGCTCCACGAAGCTGTGGAGGCGGCCCTACAGGGTATGGCTGTGGTCAAGCCGCTGGTGGAAGAGGCCCAATTAGAGATCCGGGATTTGGATGAGCTAGCCACCAAGGAGGAGATACTGGAAGCGCTAAGGTCGGTCAGCGAGGACCTCAGCATCGGGCAGGACGCAGTGAAGTCAATCCGCAAGGTGAGCGGTGGTCAACAGATTGCCGTACTATCTCTGCCAGCAGAGAAAGCAAGGAGGCTCATAGAAGCAGGCAAAGTGAGAATAGGCTGGGCAATCTGCCGCATCCGAGGGGTGATTAGGCCAACTCGCTGCTACAAGTGCCTTGGCTTTGGTCATACGGCAGCAAGGTGTAGCAGCGCGGAAGATCTGAAGGACTCGTGCTACAGGTGTGGTGTAAAGGGGCACCTAGCCAGGAACTGCTCAAACAGCCCGAGATGCGCATTATGCGCAAAAGACAGCCTGCCAGCGACGGACCACGCCACAGGAAGTTTTAAATGTCCGGCGTACAAGGAGGCGGTAAGACTGCTAAGATGATAAGGTTCTTACAGCTCAATTTGAACCACTGCATCGCAGCACAAGACCTGCTACTGCAGACCATCGGCGAGCAGAATATTAGTCTGGCGCTACTCAGCGAGCCATATAGAACATACAGCAACAGCAATTGGGCAGTGGATCTTTCCGGCAAAGCTGCTCTATGGCTGTGTGAGCCTAGAGCGCCCGCTTTCTCGGAATGCAAAGCTGGTAACTTCTTCGTGAGAGCCAAAGTTTCTGACCTGTGGGTCTATAGTTGCTACCTTCCACCCAGCCTTTCCTTATCGGAGTTCGCCTCTGTCCTCGACGCTCTGGTAGACGACGCCAGGGGACGTAGCCGTGTTATTATTGGCGGAGACTTCAACGCATGGGCAGTTGAGTGGGGCAGCAACACCACTAACGCGAGAGGCCGAACTCTACTGGAAGCTTTCTCAGTATTGGATCTGACGCTGCTGAATACCGGGTCACAGCACACATTCAGCAGGGCAGGCAGCGGATCCATAATTGACCTGTCGTATGCTAGTAGCTCCCTCCACAGCCAGATCATGTGGTCCATTAGCGACGCTTATACGGCAAGCGACCATGTGGCCATCACAATCACAGTCGGAGCAACCTCCCGCAACATGCTGAATCCACCGTCCGCCAACGTGGCATACAAGCTGGATTCCTTCCGTCCAGCATCCTTCGCAAGCGCCCTCAGCGGCTTCCGACTCTCCGGTGATCCAGAAGTTATGGCTATGGACGCCGTGGCCCAAATCCGCGCGGCATGCGACGCCAGCATGGACAGACGTGGCCCCTATAGGCGCCACCACGTACCAGCTTACTGGTGGACCAACGAAATCGCGGAACTGCGAAGCTCTTGTATCAGGGCAAGAAGAATGGCGCAGAGAGCTCGCGGCACATCCTCGTCGCCCCTCAGACAGGATGCCTATCGGGAGTCTAGGCGATCTCTGAAAAGGGCGATAGCAGCAAGCAAGAGGCGATGCTTTTTCGAGATGTGCGACTCAGCCGAGCACGACCCCTGGGGGAAAGCATATAAGCTCATTGTGAAGCGAATCTACGCTGGCGGACGCAATGCTCCCATGGATGCTGAGAAACTCTCACGAATCGTTAATACCCTATTCCCCTCGAGACCCGAGTCGCCTGCGATGATCCCTACCAGAAACGAGTTATCGCCTGCCTTAGGCGACGTCACCACTGAGGAAGTGCGGCTGGCTGCTCGTAGCTTGCAGCTCAACAAAGCGCCGGGCCCGGATTCTATACCGAACCGCGCACTCAAACTGGCACTTTGTATGCACCCTGGGGCGTTCGCTACTCTGTTCGGAAGGTGTATCAGGGAAGGCATATTCCCTGCCTGCTGGAAGGTGCAGAACCTGGTTCTACTGCCGAAACCGGGAAAACCACTCGAAGACCCCTCATCCTACAGGCCGATTTGTCTCCTGGACTCGATCGGTAAGGTGCTGGAGAGACTGCTCTGCTCGAGGCTCGAAACAGCAATCGGTCTATCCCCCAATCAGTACGGGTTCCGGAAATCGAGGTCCACCATAGACGCGATCAGTAGAGTGGTGGATCTTGCGTCGAAGGCAATATCAGGTAGCAGATGGAAGGGAGGTGCCAAAGAATACTGCCTGGTGGTGACCCTCGACGTCAAAAATGCATTCAACTCGGCAGACTGGGGATGCATTCTCAACGCACTGGTGGATCAAGGCGTACCCACGTGCCTGGTGCGCTCCATTAGAAGCTACCTTAGCGATCGGATACTTAGGTTTCACACATTGTCTGGCACCAAATCCCTCAATGTTGTTGCTGGCGTCCCCCAAGGGTCGGTCCTAGGGCCGCTGCTCTGGAACGTCATGTACGACGGCATTCTCCGCCTCCAACTCCCACCCGGTACTGAGCTAGTGGGGTATGCAGATGACGTCGCAATTGTAGGCGTTGCGAAGGATATCAAAACCGTGGAAGACGCGTGCAACCGCTGCATCCGGTCGATCATTGACTGGCTGAACACCGTGGGCCTGGAACTAGCGGCGGGCAAAACAGAGGCAGTGCTAATCAGCAGCCGCAAGGCGGTAGAGCAAGCGCACATATCAATTGACGGTACTCTCGTGCGGTCCAAACGTTCAATTAACTACCTTGGGGTTAGATTGGATACGAGATTGTGCTTTCGTGAGCATCTGGAGCAGACGAATAATAAAGCTGCAGAGGCCACACGGGCGCTAGCCCGAATTATGGCCAACACTAGGGGCCCAAAGCAAGGTCGGAGGTTATTGCTTATGAGCGTAACCAAATCAATAATGCTGTACGCGGCACCGATATGGGCTGCCGCGGTGAACAAGAGGAGCTACATCCGCGACCTCGCTGCTACATACCGTCTTGGCGCTCTCCGTGTCTGTAGTGGATTCAGGACGGTTTCTGACGATGCCGTACTGGTGATCTCGGGGATGGCACCTATCGACCTCCTCGTCCTGGAGGCGAACTACCTTCACAGTTTTGCTGCCGGGCGGCCTCGAAGGGACGCGCGGGCGGCGGCTAGACGTACGACGGTAAGCAAGTGGCAAGAGCGATGGAATGCCTCGTCAAAAGGCAGGTGGACCCACACGCTAATAACTAACGTAGCATCGTGGATCGGCAGAACACATGGCAAGGTCGACTTCCACCTGACCCAACTTCTGAGCGGCCACGGTTGCTTCAGAAGTTATCTTCATAGATTTGGGCACGACTCCAGTGCGGAATGCCCGGCCTGCAGAGGGATACCGGAAGATGCTAACCACGTAGCCTTCCATTGCCCAAGGTTTGGGGCGGACAGAAGGAGACTGGAGGCGACAACCGGATCACCCCCAACGGCGTCGAACTTTGTGGCCAACATGCTCGCTAACGAAGAGTCGTGGGCTGCGAGCGCAAACTTTGCGGCCTCCGTTATGGGCAAGCTCAGGAAACAGGAGCGGGACAGGAGCGCGATATAAGCGGGTTGATCGGCCGGGCGAAGCAATGCCTAACGGCCGTACCGCCTGGACTTTGACCTGCGTTTATCATTATTATTATTACTTTTACTTTTATTATTATTATTATTACTCCTATTGTTATTTCTATCTATTCTATATTGTTATTTTTCCACTCTAAAAATAAAGAATACAAAAAAAAAAAAAAAAACACACACACACACACACACACACACACACACATGCACAACGCGCCTTTAAGCTGATTACAAAGCATTTATTCTTTCGCAGTGCTGCGCCTTGTTACGGATTTTTTTCCTGCTGATTACTTTTATTGTCGTTTACGGCTTTTGGCTTTTGTCGTATTTTTTGAGCGGCGTCTGCTCCTATTTATGTAACAAACCAACCAGCAGGCACCTAATAGGCTTTCCTTTCTTCCATCCTCTT